CGGAGTTTTAATGTTCTGAAAAGTCATTTTTCAGAACATTAAATTCTATTATTATGCTTTTTATTTGGAGTTTTAAGACTCATGGAACACCAAAAGCCCATTTATACAAATCTAAACAAAGTGGTGGGCTAGCTCTACCTTGTTTTTTACATTATTATTGAGCTGCTAATTTACGAGCTTTAGTTTATTGGCAGGAATGTTACACCAGAAAATATTGAGGGACACCCCAGCTTGGGTAGCAATAAAAAAAAAAAGATGCTATCAACAGCTCATTACCAGCGCTTCAATTTGCATCATCTAGATTCTTTAAAAATACAAATATACAGAATAGAACTATTTTGAATAGCCTCAGAATCTGGGAGCAAATTAAAAAGAGTTGCATATATCCAGATACTGCCATACACTTGTTATAATCATGCTTTCCCTCCATCTCTCTCAGATAAAATTTTTGAAAATTGGAAGTTCAGAGGCATCAATTCTTTGAAAGACATACTTTAACCAACAATTTGCCTCATTTGCGCAAATACAAGAGAAGTTTGATATTCCATCTAATCCATCCATCCATCCATTTTCTGTACACACTTCTTCCTTTTCAGGGTCGCGTGGGTCACTGGTGCCCATATCCAGCAGTCACAGTGCGAGGGGCGGGGTACACCCTGGACAGGTCGCAAGTTCATCACAGATTCCATCTAATCAATTCTTAAAATATTTACAAATTATAAATTATGTTTGTCAAAATATAAATAATTTTGAACAACTTCCAGAAGATAACGGATGTTRTAAGCTTTTGTTTGGACCCCCAGATTAAAAAAAAGATTGGTAATTTTGTTCAACTATTTTCTGATTCCAAATGTTGAAACACAATTATCAAGCAGGCCTGGGAAAGAGATTTGAGTGAACAGRTTGATAATACGGTCTGGGAGAAGATTCTTAACTCCATAAGATCCTGTTCTATTAATGTTAGAGACCAGTTAATTCAATTCAAGGTRGTACACAGACTTCTTTATTCAAAAACTAAACTACATAAAATGTACCCTAYARTYTCTCCTTTATGCAACCGATGTAAATCAGCTGAAGGCTCTCTTGCCCTTCTTTTTAGGACATGTCCAAAATTACATATTTTTTGGTGTGATATATTTATGTGGTTTTCCAAATTGTATGGGCGTGAATTTAAGCCAGATTAAAATATTGCTTTATTTGCATACTCGTCATTTCTTGTTAAATGTAGTCCCTCAATACAATGTGTTTTTAAGTTTGGTGTGATAATTGCTAAAAGATTAATTTTAAGACTGTGGAAAACAGAAGTTGTACATTTCAAGAGTGACTTTCAGAATTATCTGGGGTATAACACATGGAGAGACAGATATGATATGATGGACAAACCCAAGTCTTTTTTTTTTAAATCTAGCAGCCATTTTGCTCAACAGGACTACAATCTTTCCTGATAATGAACATATGACTAAACTATTCGCCACCTTCCTTGCTCTATTTTATTTATAAACTTGGTAAAAGATGCACCCGTATTTGGAATAGATATGCCCAGGTTTTTTTGTTTGTTTGTTTGTTTTTGTGGTTTTTGTTCTTRTTTTTGTGTTTCTATTGTTATGTATGAGTGGATAAACGTAATAATTTGAAAAATCAAATAAATATGAAAAGTAAAAAAAGAACTGCTGAAAGTAGCAAAATGCTGGTTTAAAGTAACAAAACATAGCCAAAAGTAGCAAAAGTCTAGTTTAAAAAAGCAAATAATGGCCAATGTAACAGAAAGCTAGCTAAAAGGAACRAMATGTTTAGAATAGGACTTGTTAAMTCAAGGCCAGAGTTTATTCAGACCRAACTGACRGGCTAAAGGCYAATCAGAAAAGAGGAGGCAGGGTTTACTGCACATCTTACATCARAAATTTACAGTGTTTTTTTAACAGTATTAATCTGGCACAAAACATTATATTTCTCCCAACCTAAAAACAAAGAACAGTATCGGTGCTGCTGTAAATAAATGAGCTTCTTGTTGCAAACAAGGCCAAAAACAACTCATGAGGCTGTGGGAAGACATGTCTAACGTGGAGCCTAAAAATGAAAACGATGATACACGAAATTCATATTTTTATCGGGAACCCTTCTGGTTTCGCTGCCTTCAAACCATTTCCCCTCAACCCAAAATCATCTCTAATTTCCACCAAAATGGAAAAATGGCAGCGTTCTGCCCGGGTACTCCCCTCTGCGACGGTGATGTGACTCTGCGAGCTGCTGGCAGCGTTTCTGCAGCGAGACAGCTCCGCCCTGCAGGCTGTGTGGTGGGAGTCCCGTCTGTTATGTGGGAGCTTTGCCTCTGGGCCACAGCACTGCCAGGAGGGTTGGGGCAAGGGGAAGTGTGGGGATTTTACTCAGCTCTGCTGCTTGGCTGCAGTCTCCGTACCGTATGCATTTGACCTCATTAAAATTCTGTTGGACTCAGAATATGAGATTGCACCTGCAAAAACACTGCTTTTAGTCAGCTCGCCTGCTTTACTTTCTCATTTTTATGTCTGCAAGTAAACCCAGCTTGCTTCTTTAGCTGTAATATTTTAAAATATATTTTGTTTTATGTGAAAGTACCAATACAGAACACTTGTGAGTCGAACCAGCAGCAAAATACCAAGTAAAGGACATCCTGTGGACTAAACAGTTAATGGAATTGGCTGCCTTCGTACTGTATTCCCAAATTAGAAACGAGGGTACCACCTGTTTCTGTCAGCAGAGATCCTTTTGATTATGACGGAGGAAACACAAACAGAAATGTTATCATTGTGTATTTTTAGAACAGTGGTCCTCAAACTTTGAATGCTGTGCCCCACTTTGAATGGAGAAAAAGCTCAAGACTAAATCATAACGAGTCAATAAAACAACAAAATTACTCAAGATTAAAATAACTTTTTTCTTAATTACAATGTGAATTTAAAACATGTATTAGCAACACCAAAACACCATTTAAGCTTTTTTAAAATTTATTTACAAATAATTTTGTCTCTGCCAATGCATTCTAACCAAAGTGCTGAAAAACGTGTGCCTTGCCACATCCACATTAGAGATGATCCCATCATCTCTGCAGTTCTTTGAAGGGAGCTGGATCTTATGGCTTTGTCCGTTTTAAAGAGCTGTTCAGTTTTAAACTATTTGTTACAATTAGTCATGTAAAAAAAGGCAGCTGTGACACTGTTTCTGAAAATCTCCTGCTGAACACAAAGGGAGTTTTTGAAATATCTGCTTTTTCTTCACTAAGGCTTTGCTTGCATTTGGACTAAATTAACACTTTTTTTCAAATTTCCCAACTAAGTCAAGATTTATAGAACTATTATGTAAACTAGAGTGTCCGTTTAAAACTACATAAACCCTGACATGCTAACACATTCTAACAAAAATACTGAAATAACCATGCCACAGCACTAGGTGGCAAAAAATGTCCACATTAGAGATGGGATTTATGGGTTTTTGAAGGGAACTGGATCTTATGGTTTTGTTCGTTTTAAAGAGCCATTCAATTTTAAATGATTAGTTACAATTAGCAAWGTAAAATATAGGTTGCTGCCATTGGCAGCTGGTGGCTTTTTCTCCAAAGTGGGCCACAACTCCAAAAAAAAGACATATTTCAAAAAGCAAGCCTACTAAGTAGTATCACTCAATGGTGTGGTGTGTTTCCCACTAGAGGAGTCAAAATACCCTGAATATGGTTTGCAATGTTGTATGGTCTCCTCAGTAATTGACCAGATGGCGAAGATGCCGCTTTCTGTTGCAGTTTTCAAATTTGTCTTTTCGACGCTCCTTGTTTTTGATGTTGTGCAAGTTGGGCTTTTTCAACAAAACTGATGACTTCCTCTGTCAGAGTTTAGGGTAAAAGTGAAGGTGGCGTCGGCTCTACTTTGAGAGAGAGAGAGAGGGGTTTGATGGTGACGTGGATTTGTCCTATCCTCTCACTAAGTAGCTTGTTCTGTGCGGTCCAAAGGATCTTTTGTGCTCTGTGTCCCTTGATGGTAGAGTTGAGTCTCATACTGTTTGGGATGAGTCTTTGTTGTCTGCATCTCAAGCTGAAACGAAGATGGTTCCTGTAATCTGAAAGTTTCCATGACATCTAAACTCGCACTACTCCTACGGTGTCTTTCCCAAAATGCACAGTATTACAAACCATTACATTATATTGTAAACCATTATATTATAAGACCTATTTTGGTGTATTTTTTCACAATATAGCACCACTATGATTAACAAACACTGCAAAAGACATTTGACTTTTCTCTCACCTGTTTTAATCCATGCCTGGTCAGATCCTGATGCTTGAAGAAGAGGCAGGGAAAGCAAAACAAAGAATTAACCTCGCTATATGTGGTTCCAAAACCAGGTTGTGGAAAATGACCGAGTGTAAACTCTCCCACTGTCTTTGGTCTGCTGCTCAGTTTTTATGTTTGGCTGATCARGTCTAAGCTCTTTTATTTTAAGCTTCTCCTGATATGTTGTCCTCAGAAAAGATTTTGTTTTAATGAGGCTTCACTGAGTTGTTTAGGTCCTCCATTTTTCGATTGGCTTTCCTAATTCTGCCTTACAACCTGTAGTGCTTTATGTCGACACACTATA